TTTTGCTAACACATTTCAAAATACTCTTAAACTTGCCTCCTCATTTTCTATCTTGGTGGTGATGTTATGAAAACAAGCACAGAGACCCTCATTTATGCCAATTTTTATCCAGTCATCAACAGGAACAGTAAGAAGCTCAGTCTGATAAATTTTAATATTGGCAATACACTTTTCTATATCATCATCTTGGCAAAGGAAATAATCCAGTAACAGTTTTAAAAACCCCTCGATACTCTGAAACCTGAACACTGTTAAATGCTTCATTTTTTATTAGCCACCTTATTTTTTTTAAAGTTGGTTTTTCCTGAAAACTTTTAAATGATTGCTCTGGTCTGTGGGAGACTGACGACTCCTCAGGACTCTAAAGTTACATGCTATACTAAGCTCTCTAGCACAGGTTTTTACTTTTCCCCACCCCCAGGACTTCAGACTTGAATAGTTTCAGCATTCCTTTAATCCTACAGAATAGACTTCTGAAAGTTTTTCAAGTTATTGTTGCAGTAATCTCAGGGCCTTGTCCTTGTACATGGCCTTCGGAACAAAGGTTAGGTCAAATTAATGAATATTGGGCGCAAATTAACCAAATTTTGTCTGGTGTGAAAGGACATCCTCAAACCCTTAAGGGTACTTTTTTAATCAGAGATTTTTCAAAGATATAAATATAAAAGTAAAATAAATGTCGCAGCAGCCTTAGTTCAAATGAAAAGACTCCAAAGTAGAAATTTATGTCAATAATTTAAGCAGAGAGTAAACCAGCAGTATAATATAAATAACACTTGAGGCTATGTTTAATATTTCTTAGGATGATACAAATCAACACGAAGACATCTGAAGGTATTGAATGTTCGTTCACCAAGTGACAAACACTGAAATGGCTTCCTAAATTCCAGACAAACTACTTTACAACTTGGCGATTTGAAAAACATTAGCCTAGACATTATCAAAGGAAATGCTGCCGTCTCTTCAAGTTGATGTCTAGCCTAAGCCACCATTATTCACGATACAAAGCTCTCATTTCACTAAAACCACTCCTCGATTTCCTTTTGCCGACCTCTGCATACCAGCAGCCCTAGTCTTTCTTCATTCACCACTCACAAACTCGAGGGGTGGGGGGGCCGGGGAGGGGGGAGACCACAGATGTCTGGAAGATACAAAGTATGAGACAATGTCCCTCCACACGGGAACAGAACGAAGGGAACAACTACACCCAGTGCCAAAGCTTTCCAGCTTGGCAGATTCAGAAGCGGGCTATAGGGACTTAACTTCGGAAAGTCTCGGTTCAAAGTCCTCTCTCCAGACAAAACACTGAGACAAGTTTCAACCGCTTGAATTGCATTTGGCCGTTTTGCAGAGAAGGAAAAATTCACTCCGCTGAAAAGAAAACGTGCTCTAAAAATCAAGTTTAGCTGCCATCAAACTATTTGAATAAATTTAAATTATTTCTACGAACAAAATACTCGAAGCAGTCCGAGTCAGAGGCTGAATCCTGCAGTTAACGTGGTTAACAAACAGCCATCACTTTCGCCTTCCTCCACCCCCGCGTTTCACCAGGGTCTCATGCCCACTACCATAAATCCAGAAGACTCCCCTACTTTATCCACTGCTTTCACTCACCTGCAAGGTACGCTACAACATAGGTGCAAGACATGGATTTCTTACGTGCAACACCCTACTGACGCATCGCACCGACCGCACTCAGAGTTTAGTAACTCTAAGGTTTAAAGTTGCTTCGATTCAAACTCCCATAGGCAGGGCATTACCAAAAAAAAAAAAAAAAAAAAAAAAAAATGAACACTTCTATTCTTCTGAAACCTTAACAGAAAGTCCAGTCGGCGGATCCCCAGGACAGATGGAACTTAGCGTGGCGCTCCGGCCTGAGCCCCCGAACCCCAACTCGCCGCAGGAGCTGAGAAGGCGGAGCCCCCCGTCCCCACCCCGCCCCCCACCCCGGTCCCGGCGCATCCCGAGGCACAGGGTCCCTCCCCCAAACTCGGCCAAGGCCGGAGCCCCGGGCAGAAACCACAGACCCCCCACCCCCACCCCCACCCCGCCGGCCATCCGGGCTCCTGGCCGCGACCCCGCAGCACCACCCCCGGCAAGCGATGCCCCCGGGGCCCCCGAGGGGCAGCGCGACCGGAACCCGGGCCCGGCCGCCGCCCTCCGCGCCCGGGGCGCGGCCCTCACCCGCCGTCCCCCACCTGAGTCCCCCGCTCCCCACCCCAGGCCTCCGGGCTGCGCCGGGCCCGGCTCCCAGCTCGCCGCCCGGAGCGCGCGCCAGCGACGAAGTTTGGCTCCGAGAGGAAGCGGGAGCAGCCCCGGAAGGATAAGGAAAGGAGCGCCCAAGCACCTCAGGGGAACAGGCTCCTCCCGCCGCGGGAGTCCGACCGTCCTCGACCTGCGGTGGCGGCTCGGCGGGGACTGAGGCTGCTCCTCGGACCTTCCTCCGTCTCCGCCTCCCCTCGCTCTCCGCTCCCGGGGCCGGGCTACCGCGGCTGCCACAGACCGAGAGAGTTAAAATGGCGCCGCACAAGGAGCTCTTATAAGTCGCGCGCAAGCCGCTGTATCCTGCCGCCGCCGGCGCCGCGCGGAGCGTTCCGCCGCGCGAGGACACGGGGCGGGGCGCGAGAGGGCGGGGGAAAGTAGTCCCGCGCCGCCAGCCGTGCGCCGCCGTGAGGGCGCCCCGGGCCGGGGCCGGGGCGGGGGCCGCGCGCGCCGCGGACGCTCCCCACGGACGCTCCCCGGGGCGCGGGCTGGCGGCTGCCCGGCGCGCGGGACCTGAGGGCGGCCCCGGAGGGCGCCGGGGTCTGCGTCGGGGCGGCCAGGCCCCTGCAGGCCTGGGTGCGCGAAGGGGGCCCCGTCTCCTCCCCCGTCCCAAGCCCAACGCCCCCGCCCCGCGCGTCTCCCGAGCCGGAGAGCCTTCCCCGCGGCCTGCGGAAGGTGGCTCCTCGGCCCCGGCCCTCGGGGGCTGCGCGGGGCGGACGGGACGGGTCCCGGGAGGGCGGAAGTTCGGGGCCAGCGCCCGCCCGGCTCGGGGCGCTCCTGGGCGCCCGTCTGCGGACTCGCGGCCCGGCGCGGGTGACGGGGCCTCGCGACCTTGCGGTCTGCCGCGCGCTCCCTGCCGGCCCTGGCTGGCGGCCCAGTCCCAGGCGCCCGGAGGCCCCCCGCTCTCCGGATGGTGGTCCCACGGCTCGGCAGGCGGCTCGGCTTGAGTTTCGACCTGAACCGCCGGGCCAAGCCGCCCTCGATCCCACTCGCGAGGGCTGTGAACTCCCCGAAGAGTGGGCGCCAAGCCCGCAGTTCAACAAGTCCTCCCGAGTACCCACTGTGAACAAATAGCTAATGGAAACGGATTCGCTCCAGAGCGCTGTCAATTAGGTTAATTCTCATAGATTCCATTTTTATCTGGTTCCACTTGTCACTGGGTATCAGTAGATTTATTTGTGGGGATTTTTCTTTGGAGAAGAAGATTTTTACGGTATTACTTGAGAAATCGAAGTATGTTTATAGAAAAAGCGATCGATTAGGCAGCCTGTAATTTTTTTAACTGACTTTCAAAAACGTTTTGTAATTAATTTTGATAGGCTGAAAAATATTTCCCATTGTAATGCAGCAAAATTGGCATTTGTCAAAGCTGCAGCAATGACGATCGCTTCACTTTCTCTAGTCTATTGTTTGTGCTTATTTTTCCTCCAAAACACTGGAGAGAGTACAAAAAGCAGCAGTGAAAGTTACCTCTGTGCTTTTATCCCAGGACCGCAATTAATACATGCAAACAATAGCTGTTTACACATAGATGCAGGCAGGAAACCCACTTGCTTACTCACTCATGGAGGTAGTTTAAGGCATAGCTCGTGTTTCAGGGACAACATATTCTTGAAATAACTTTTATTTTTGTCTTAAATATATTTTACTATATAAATGGTAATGCCAACTGCCGTCTGTCACCATAGCACATGTGGGCCACTGCATTGGAAAAAGTCCACACACTGAGATGACGTTCAGTGAGATCCATTGTCTAGAAAAACCTTCTCATTAGTATCTTCCCTAGTAATTCTGTAGAATTAAGTGTAGCTATTGGCTGTACTCACAATTCAAAAAGATTGAACCAAAAAAGGTATTTCATTAAAGCCATGTTTCTAATATAAAGTCAGAAGTATAAATGGCGTTTTCAGATACTGATTCCTAATTTTAATTGTCATTTGTAGAGTTAAGGAATATGCAATTGACGTGATTAAAGTCATACATTCAAAATCAGACGACAGAATCACCACTTTTGCAGGGTTTTTTTTAAATGTTTTTCTATATGCAGTGTTTTTTGTTGTTGAATAAGGCACTCTTGAAATTGGCTAAGAAATATCTGCACCATTGGAAGATCTAAAGGAAAAAAACATTTCTATATTTCTGTTTCTGTGTTCCGTTACCAAAATAATGGAATCATTTTTCTACAAATACTTTAAATTTAGAATTAGGATTTTTAATCCCTATTGACACCATAAACAAATACATGTTATTTTTTAAAAAGGTAAAATTTGCAACAATGCAACATGCTGTTTTTCCTGTCATAATAAGTTGACTGAAGAATTACTGGTTTACTAACATTAAAGCAAGTTAAACTTAACATTGCTCCTAATTTTTATTTGCATGTTTCATAAGGCAGAAATTGTTCTAGTTGTCTCACCAAAAATATGAGATGAATAACTTCTATGGAATGAAGACAAATACTATCATTAAACCAAGGAAAAATACAGTATCAGAATACCTGAGTTTGGTGAAATAAGAAATTTTGTTAAATAATTTTTTAAAGATTGACCTTGGACAATACATTTCATAAAAAACAGTTGGTTATCTGTTTTTTGCCTTTTCATTCTAGAGCCAGTCATCCTGGGTTTGACATAAATTAATTTTATGAAATGGCGACAGACAAGTGGTTCTAATTTTTAATCTGTATTCTTAGAAACCAAGTGTCTCCAGCTAGTTTAAGAGAGAAGATATTTCGTGTCATGCTATCAGGCCACTGGCATATCATGCAGTAGAAGACCGAACCTGAATGTAAGGTATCCCTTCCCTAAAACAGATGCTTTTGAATTACCTTTGAGAGAGAGAGAAAAAAAAACAAAAACAAAAAACCAGCCCAGATTATTTCACACTTCAAACAGAAATATGAATCACGCCAGCATTGTAAAGAAGGTTCGTTCACTTTTTGGATGCTTAACTCTATCAAATCCATTAATTAAACATTTATTGAGCACCTAAGACAATGAGCTTCCCTTAGAGGGAAACGGATGACTGGCTCCTTTTGATTAGGTCTCTTAAATTAATGTAAAATTGTAACTGTTAACCCTATTTTAAGAGAAGCAGAAACGGTGGAAAACAAGCTGTGAACCTAGGGTGTGGTCTCTGTTGGACTCTACATCCGAATCCCCTCGGAAGGCTCCCCACCCAGCGGAAAGGTAAGAATAACATTCCGTGCATTTAAAAGCAATCAATCCCAACTCTCTAAGAAGGCTTGTTAAGAATATTTCTTATGAGAATGTAAAAACACTGGACGGTAGTCAGGATCAGCTTCTCATTCAGCAGTTCATCAAGTGGGCTATTTATGGATTGGGACTTCTGATTTGTAATACATCGTCTCAGGGTTCGGTGTTATCTTTTGATTTCTTTCCAGCTGAACAGGCTAAGTAGTTGTAAATACCTCTTGTCAGACTACATGGTTGGCTATTCTCGCACACAGAAGTAATCTAGGAACCCACTGGGCAAGTTCGGCGGAAAGCCGCTGTGGAAGCCTGCAGCTGATGTACACTGCAGAGCGAGGGAGGGGCGGTGAAGGTGGCGGGAGGCAGTGGCCATGGTGGTTGCTGTGGCCTGGTCACTTCAGTTATGTCAGGAACACCCTACATGTTTGGAGGTATGTGTTCTCGAGGCCTTCACTGGTTTGCCATACTGACAAAGTATATTTTAATGGCTACCGTGCAAAGTGTGAAGGAGAAGCAATGGAGACTTCATCCATGATATGCAAAGAACATGAAGGTATATACGTTTCTCAATGTTTCTAAGAACTCAGACAAGTACCGCTGCATTTCTAAGAAATCATGCTTCGGAGACACACACCCGCAACACACGCACGTGCACACACACACACACACACCCCTCTATTAAAAATTTCAAAATGGTTGCAGATATTTCATTCACAAGAAGGCTAAAGGCGTTTCCCATCGCAAGAAGGATTAACTTACCGGAGGATTCTGGGACTGCAGATGTATACTGCGGCAAAATCCTAAATTCACCGAAAAAAAATCATTTCTGGACTCCAGCTGCTAAAAATAATAGAATTATAGCAAATCATGGATAAGATTAAAACAAGTCATTTTCACCTTCCAAAATGTTCAGAAAAAAATGATTCTTTTCTTTTAAGTCATTTCTTAAACAATGCAAATTTTAAAGTAGCTTTTCTTTCCAGACCTCGCAGCGCCATGAAATCGATAATTTTTGATCTTTTGGTTAGTAGGCAACATGGTGAGCTATTGCAGGGACTGCAGGCAGCAGACATGTTCTTGTCAGCTAAAAATTTTCATATTGTTTTTGAATCCATTGAGATTTGTAGATGTGATATCACCGGTTTTTTGTTTTAGCTTGCACTAGGCAATAGGGATGCACACCCTCAGTTTATCGACATATACATGTCTATTGCTTTATATGTATTAAAAACAGGGAGTCTTACTGGATCTTAAACAAAAAATTATGTAAAAGGAGTGGCTGGTGTGATTATAATCCCATCATGCAGGGTCCACGGTTCCCATTTAGTGAAATTTCGCAGAGGGCAACTTCTTAAGAACATCCCTGCTGTGCAGAGTGAAAAGCATGAACAAACCAGAGACAGAATTCGTCTGTGTTTATATTTTACAAACAATGAAAAACCTACTCTTTGTATGCCTTTTTCCCCCACCTTATTATTTCATGAAAACTGCAGCATTTTCCCCGCCCCCATCCAAACACTCACCACCCTGGCACTGCCGTGTTCCGTCCCTCTTTGCTTCTCCTTCGTCTTCTTTTTCGCTTTCACAAATTCTGCACGCGCCATCTTTGTGTGGGGTGATTCTTTGCTAATTTCACTTATCCATTCTCTTACAAATCAGTTCAGAAATAGAAAATTATAGTGCGCTTTGGGGCTTAATTTGCCTAAATTTCTTTCAGTCTCCCCTCCTGACATAGAAAAATGAAAACAACAAGGGGGGGAGATGCCAAAAAAAGAGAGAGAGAAAGAGATATTTCTATTATGGACATAACCTGTTGTATACAGTGGTAATAAAAATATTATTAACATAATAGCAACAGCTGCGGCCTAAATAGAAGCTATGAGATAATTAATGTGCTACAACAAATTAATTTGCTGCAGGTGCTTCTGCTGTGAACTGAGTAACCCATGCCATATAAAGTCTAAATACAATTAGGATTCCCCCCCACACTAAAACAAAATACTGGGTAAAATGTCCTGTTTAGTAAACATGCCTATTGAGAAAAAAATTCTCCCCATTTCTTTTCCGCTGCCCTTCACCAATCCATGCTAAAAGGTTCAGTCATCAGTGGGTAAGTGTGGAGTTGCATCGGTGTGTATATGTATGTGTGAGTATCTATGGACGGTATGGCATTTTTAAACATAGAGGTTTTATACTGTGGCTTAGTTGGAAAACATATGGATCAGCTATATATTTCTTTTAAAAAATTTTAAGTTGTTTACAATATGTTTGAGCTTCATTGGTTTCAGAGCAAAAATTAGATGTTTCCATGTGTATAGCTGGAAAAAAAATAAGTTGAGCAATTACCTAACTAAATAATTTTTTAAATCATCCATTTTATCAAAGAATGAAGTGTGTTTATAGTGTAGCACTCTTTATTGATGCAAAAGAAAATTTTCTTTTCCCTTTCACCTGCTGTCAAGTTGAGTGTTTAAGGACAATGGTTGCTGGTTATATCAATCACAAGTGTGTGACAGAAATATGTTGTATCAGAGTAACGCAGGCAGGGCCTAGAGAAGGTCACAGTGCCAGAAGCAAATGTCCTTTTCTATTTTGTACCACTCAGTAAAAATTAACTTTGGGCCTAGAAGAGTGGAAGAACATACAGATTGAAATTTTTTTAACTACTTGGCTAAAACATTCTTAGGGTAAGGATGTAGTCATTTCCGATTTTTCTTCTAATAATGCTGCCAAAAGAAACGACATTTTTGTTTGTATTGCAGTCTTAATTTTTTGTTTGTTAAAAAGCAAAATAAATAAATTTTATCATGGCCAAATTTTCAAGGTTATTGGTTATTAAAATTTATTATATTGGATGATCTTAACATTTAATGCTAAATCTTATAATACAGTATTTGCTTATACAATGCATAAATTTTAAGAGCATTTTTTGGTATAAGTTTGCAGAAATTTTAGTTCTAGGTGAAGCTATAAAATTATTCAAACAGAGCGCTGTTCCAGCCATACACAGAAGGGACACTGTATTTGCATGGATTTTCTTTAAAATATATTTTATTTTGCGTCCTCTTTTTAGGTGGACAAGCAACTTTCTTAGTCACTACCTGTGCCTTTCTCCGTGGAGAGGTACCACGTTTGCCACACCATTTCCCATGCAGCAATGGACATGCATTTTACTCCATCTTTTTCTTTTGTTTGTACTAAAGCTTTTTCTTCATAATCTGTTTTCAAATCTGTTCATGTTTTGAATGTACAATTGTAGAATTTGAGTTGGGGGAAAAAGATAAAGAAGTAAAGGTCATATTGATTTTCTTTTAAAAAGAGGAGAAAGAACTGGCCAATTTCATAATAAAAATGAGGAAAGTGGACAAGTATGAAATATACACATCTCCACTGGGAATTTCTAGTCATTTTCATGTCAGCTGACTGTGTCATTCTACCAAATGGAACTCACTGAAATCATATAGTTCTATAATTATAAAATCGATTTGGGAAAAGAAAAAAAGTGCTTTAATTTCTGTTGCTTCAAGGGATTATCCATTCAAAACATTTTTCTGTCCACTATAAATTGTATTGGAAACTAAGCTATAAGAAATAAAGATAGTAAATGTCTAACACAAACTCCTTTTTCTTATTAGTGTTCTCTTTTCATAGCAAACCCATCCCAGTTCCTTCAACCCTTTCTCCCGTGATTTACCTTTCAGAACCCTTATTCATAGATTGTCAGTACAAGTGACATTGTGCTGATTCTAAACAATTAAAAATGGTAGTTGTTTTAAGCCAATTTGTTTTGGGGTGGTTTGTTACATAGGAAAGCTAAGTAATAGAACAAAGAAAATTCAAATTTTGTCTTGTTCTAAATAATCACATCATACTGCGGGTTATGTGCTGCCTCTCTTCTGACAAGCATTTCTAAAGATTTTTAATGGTACAGTCTTCTTAGTAAAATAATTTTGTATGTGCACCCGCAGACACATATCTACTAAAATTATATATATGCACAGCTGCCAATTACATATATTAAATATCAGTGAAGCCTGACTTCTTCTTTTTTAAAAAAATAAATATAGTGGTTGTAGTAACTTTTCCCTCATTCCGGTGGGTCCTCATGTGCCTTCTGGGTTATGGTCACTCCACTCAAGATCACTGTTCTAAAACTCTCAAATCTTTCCCATAATTAGCTTTAAAGCATTATTTCACCTATTCTGAGTTTGTGAAATTCATTTTTTAAAGTAAACCAGAGCTTGATTTATTATAGTTACTGATTATTGCAGAATCCTGTAGGGAATTATACCTTGATCTTTTCTGTTAACTGACTTTAAATAAACTCCCTTTGGTAAAAACTGCCATTCATTTTTCTAGCAAATGTACCTAAAGTATATACAGGTTTGTGGAGTTTCTTGCATCACCATTTTCTCTTGACATATACATACACACAAAAGACAGTGTGTGTGTGTGCATGTATATATACACACAGACTATTTTAACAAAAAGTAATTAAAGAGAATAAGTATGCCTGTTCAATGTCAAAAGATTCAAAGGACCTCAATAATAGTGGTACTTTTAGCAGCTATTTGTTGAAAATCTATATAATGACAAAAAGCTATAAATTCAGTATTGATTTTGAACAAATATGTTTATTAATTTCAGTGGCATCTGATTTTCAATAGTATTTGCAAACAAATGTGGAAGACTCATTTTTCAGTGCGTGAACACTGATTAGGGCTGGTAACCGGGTCTTGGAGCCTTGTTTAACTTGGTAGTCAGAAAGCCACTGCTATAACGAATACAGAAGATGCAAATCCCATTCTTATTTGCATTAGCCATGTGACTGAGCAGCCTCTTTAGCTTGTCCCTGTTGGCATTACTGCGGTAGTAGTGGTAACAACAGTGCTGGTAAGTCACAATAATGGTGACTTCCATTTATTGAGCTGCCACCAGGTAAGAGCTTTGCCCTTCACAGCCCAGTGAACTTCACTCTTCATATAGAAGCCTCTTTTAACCATCACAACTGGTGAGGTCGGGAAACATCATTTTCCCCATTTTACATTTTGGAAATTGAGACTTAGAGAAATTATAAAGTTTGCTCAAGTTATAAGCCAAATAAAGACAGAGCTGGGCTTTGAACTCTGGACCTGTGCAGTTCAGTTAAATAGCCATGAGCCACATGTGGCCATTAAAATTAAAATTAAACACCGCATTTTGAGCACTCGGTAGCCATATGCAGCTACTGTGTTGCACAGCACCAAAATATCTTCATCATTACTGTAAGTTCCACTGGACAGTACTGAACTCTGCTGACCAACTGCAAAGCGTGTACTTTACCGGATTTAATTCTTCCTCACCCATTCATGCCTTTACTTGTTCATTCATTCAACAGATATTTACTGAATACCAACTATGTGCTTGTCACCCCATGGGACACTGGAGAATTATCTCACTGCATTATGGTCAATAGCAAATGAAATGACATGAAACAGTTGTTTAAGCTCTCAGGTTCTAGGTAAAGTGAAATACTTTTATGCTGTGGTGGTTGGAGTGCAGGGAAATGCTGCTTCATTGCGAGCAGGGCCTGTGTTACCCTTCCTGCAGCTGTCTTGTGTCTCCATACAGCCCTGCCCACATTTAGCGGAGTCCAGTACCCATCAGAAGTGAATGCAAAGCCTTGCATTATAGTGCACATGGGTAGGTTTTTGCCTGCTCACCTGAACCCTTCTCCTAAGCTTGAAGAATTCCACAGGTAGAGTACTGCAGGCCACATGAACCAAGGCAGCCAGAGCATGAAGTCCTCCCTCTGCCAATCAGATAGTTCTGTTTGGGACTTTGGTACAAATGACATGAAGAAGCTGAGGCAGCTTTAATTATTTCAGTGACTGCAGCAGTGCTGTCCTGTTTCTGTGTGGCTGTCACTTTACTGGAATTGTGATGGGTAATCTTGAAACCCACTTTATTTTTGTCCACTCCGTTAAGCCTCCTCCATGACAGTGTTTCTGAGTGACTTTCCCTCACTTTGTCACAACAAAGTTCTATGGTTACTGAGTTGCAAAACACAGTCCTGGTTTATTAATCACGCTTTTATATTTAGGCAAAGGTAAAAATTCTCTCTCCCAGCCAGGGCTGTGAAGAGGGTGAGCTGCCTTCTCCCTCTTACCATCACATTCTCCCCACTGGCTAGCTGCTACTTTGGTTCCCTTTGGGGTTGGGCCATGTGGAAAGGTAAGAGGAATGCAACATTTCTTAACAGACTGGTTACGATCATAAACTGGCTTTTGCTTTTTGGGTCCAGCCAGTATCTAAAGGTGGGCATTTTCATGGGTTTGTTCACAGCTCTCCCGCAAACCCTTCTGGCTCCCTCTCCCTTAGCATGACGGGACTCCACTAATCCCTTCTAAGGCCCTCTTCAAGGACTGCCCCCCAGTCTTAGCCTCTCATACCTTTAACGTGCTCAGTGTTCCCAGTTCTGGGTCACTTGCTTTGACCTTTCTGCCTGGTGGTTACCGTACATTTCATTCTGACTTCTAAAACCATCATAGTCTGGTGCCTCAGTTGACACTTCTGGTCTGACGTCCTTTCCCCTAAAAGTCAGAGGGAGCCAGGGCCAGTGAATAAGAAGGCAATTCATCAGATGGTTCCATAGTTATTGCTACCTAGCCCCCTTGGGTTCTGCTTGCATCTGAAGCCTGTTACTTCTACCTTTTCTAGTAATTCTGAGAACTATCCAATATCCTTCCAATACATTTCTTTTCTGCTTTAATCAGAGTCATTTCTATTCCTTGCAAGACCTGGGTGGATAAACCTTCTATTTGGGTTATTTTCTACTATTGTCTGTCTTCCTAGTTTGTGTTGAGTCATTATTTCTCTACCATTTTTCCAGATTTCATATAACACATGCATTACTTAAGGCATTCAAACAGATAAAAATGTATGAGATAGAGTGAAAACTGCCCCATAATTCCATACCATCAGATAGCCATCAGTATTTCTAAATTTAATTTTCAAATTAAATAATGCATTCACATGTGTGCATGTGGGCGTGTGTGTGTGTGTGTGTGTTTCTCTAGGACTGGTACACCAGTCATTAGCTCAGCTTGATCGAGTTATACAGCCTTTCCATTTTTTTCTTTTCGTAACATAAATGTTTTCTAGTAAAATTATTTCGTTTAGTTATAATATCCATCTCCAACCACTAGAAATAAAAATTTCCATGGTCTTCAATAGAACTGAATATCACGTTCCTGTAGAACATCCATTTTTTTCATTAAAATAATTTCTAAACCACCCTATGTGCTTAATCTTATGTTTAACACTCAGATGTGCATTTGTGGAAAGGCCACATGTCATCAGCTCCATGAAGTGGCAAACTGGTCCTTGCTTTGGAAAATCCTCCAGGTATTTATTTTTAGAAATACATATTCCTATATATAATTTCACCCTGTCCACCAGTCCCCACCACCACCACCAGTCTTACCTTAATGCTCTTATTAATTTCTTCTGTATCCTGTCCATTTCTCTACGAGAACATGA